CTTCCCCATCCAATCCCTTCTGGACGTCTCCTCCCATAATTCCCAGCCATTAAGAATGACGGCTGAGCTCTTCTGGACGCGGGCTGGATGATGTCAGGGCCAACAGTCAAACAGCATTAGAAATAACGTTTGTTTTTATTATTATCGAGCTCCACAAGAATTGCACGTGATTTTTAATCCAACATTCCTCCCGTCAGTGCCGTCCCATACAGAAGCACCTTTTCACTTTCAGTAGGAAACTTATATTAAAACAGAAGCAAGAATCTGGACATCCCTGGAAACACGGGGCTGCGACAAAAGGTCCGCACGCTGCGTTCACTGCCCTGGCCCTGACAGGCTTTTGTTCATGAACTGCCTTTTCACAAAACAGGTCCACCACTAGGAGAGAAAAGGAAAAATAACAGAAACCCAGTTCCCACCAGAAACCAGAACAGCCGCTCCTAACCCTTTTTCAAGACCTGAGGCACGCCCTCTGCGGTTGACTTCCAAACGGGCAATCTCAGGCTGTTGAGCTGGTTGATAAAGTCCAACAGCAGTGTTTCTCAACCTTGGCCACTGGAAGAGGGGTGGACTTCAACTCCCAGGATTCCCTAGCCAGCTGGCTGGGGAATCCTGGGAGTTGAAGTCCACCCGTCTTCCAGTGACCAAGGTTGAGAAATACTGTTCTACAGTATTTAAATATACCCATTATTGGACCAATTCTGCTGTTCTTTTTTGGAAAAAAAAAATGAAGAAAAGACAGCTACGGTTCGTCTTAACTAGAGCCAAAGCAGAAACAGGAAGAGCATCTCACCTTGCTGGGTTTGTCACTCTGGGGATCAAACACCTTTTCGCAAAGCCTCAGGCCAGTTTCTTGCCTCAGTTGCTGTAAATATGCTCTCATAAGCTCTTGAAATAGAAAAGAGTTCCATCAGCTGAAAACGGATCATATTAGAGCCAAACCCTTAAATCAGTGTTTCTCAGCCTTGGGGAAGCAAAGCCGGCTGGGGAATTCTGGGAGTTGAAGTCCACAGGTCTTCAAGTCCCCAAGGTTGAGAAACATTGTCTTACACGCTTAAGAATTCTCCTCTTACTCCCAAACCAAGAGCTTCCCTGGCATCTTTTTTTCAAGGGATGAAGCTAGATCTTGCTCTTCCCTCTTACGCAAACCCTTTCTAATGGCCTGATTTAACCACCCCGCTGTATTTTTGATGGCATTTTGGAAGGATGTTCAAACCGCGGTTCTGACATCGACTGGTAATTGGACGGTTTCCCTCATCCAGTCCAGTGGAATAAAATAAGCTACGTATTCCTTTGTGAACGGGAGTCGCCCAAGGGGTGGGAAAATGGACAGGGAAGCCTTGACATTCAGTGACGTGGACAAAGCTGCAGTAACCATGGCTGAGAAGTGTATTATTCCAATGCTATACCAAGAAATCAGTCACACCAAGCTCAGTAGAGCTTCTATCTAACTAACCATGACTGAGACTGAGTGCCATTCTCCTTTCCTCCCACCTGCTTACCTTCTTCTTGTTTGCTGCCAGGTCTGGCGTACAGAGCGTTCAGTGGAAATCTCGGTTCTCCGGGGATCGGGAAATTGGTGATCCCCAGAGTGTACATCTCTTTCTCCCCCTGGCCTTTTGAATTGCACTGGAAATCAAAGCAAAGCGTCTGAGCCATTTAAGAGAATAAAGACCAATTTCAATCAGTTGCCTCTCTAAAACGAGCCTTTTTTTTTTTTTTTTTTTTTTAGTGCCAGGCTCTGTTCAGAAAAAAAGAAAAGGTCACCGTCATCTTACAGTTTGTATTACATTTTATTTATTTGGATTTCAGAGCTCCTTTTTTTTTTTTACTTAAAAAAGGGCACTGCCTTTCCCGTGAAAGCACTGCAAAACCCAGAGCCGCCCATACCTTCTGCAACTTTTTCAAGCACTCCGAAATATACAGGGTTATGTAGATCAAGGTTCTGTCAGCCTCATTCTGCAAGAAAGAAGGAGTTTCAGATGGAATACCAAGCCTGCTTTGGTTCCCTCTCAAAAAGGAACTTGATTTTTATTTTCCCTCTAACCTCTCACGGAGCCCCATAAAGTTCTCGCAGAATAATAGGGTTCATAGAACCCAGTTTGAAAAACCCTCCCGTCCGAGACGATGTTTGATCAGGCAGAGATTTGAAGTTGTCCCACAGGACTTCTCTAAGGCTTCGCATTTCTCGTATTGAGAACACAAAGCTCTCTTGGATTCAAACACATTCAGAGGATTTTAAAGATTAACATTCAGCTGAAACCAGAACTTTTCCTCTTTGATGGATAAGCAGTTGGGAAAAAAGTCACGGAACATCGTTTTTATAGATGATAACTGCAGCAACATTATTGTGCGCACAAAGATGGAAAGATTCAGCGCTACCCACAATGGAGGAATGGTTGGAGAAGACGGCAGAACTCGCTGAGATGGCCAAACTGACTTCTTTGATTGGCGGAAGGACAATATCTACGTTTATTGGTGCCTGGAAGCCCCTTATGGACTTTTTGAATAAAAAAGGAAAAAATGAACTTATGATTTATGGTTTTGATGATTAGATAGGATAGATGATAGAAAGAACGGAGTCACAATGTAACTTTAAAGAAAGAAGTAAATTTATAATTGTACTTATAACCGATTGGAAGCCACTTTATATCGTTTTTCTTTCTTTCCTGTTTTTCTGCTACTCTTTTTCTTTTTGCACCTTTAGTTTTTTCTTTAGTTTTTTCCTTTTTCTCTTCTCTTTTTTTCCTCTCTCTTTTTGTTATATTAGTCTTATTTTTGTGTTTAAATTTTTCAATAAAATTATATATATTAAAAAAAAGAGAACACAAAGCTCAAAAGCACCCCAGGCTGCGCGTGGCGAACATTTAAGGCCCACTTCCCCTTACCTTGATTTCATAATTTTTAAAGAACACGTTGGCTTTGAAGTAGTAGATGGCTTCATCTATGATGTCCGTATCTTTTGCTAGCGAGAAAGAGGGAAACGCAATGTCTTTTTGAGTCATGAAGAAAATGAAAGTCATGAAGAAGTCATGAAGAAAATGTCAAAAAGTCATGAAGAAAATGAAATTTTCCTAAGAAACACTTGCAAACCTCTCTGTACGGGGAGGCTGTGGCAGAATCATATGCTGATGGATTATTAACACTTCTGTGCCACACAAAAAACCCAGAGGATTAAAAACAACACAACGATAATCAACATCTTATGTTATAATGGCACTCATCAATGGGGTGGATGCAAAAATCCAAAATGTTCCCCTATGTTCTCTCCTGGAGCCAAGTGTTTTTAAATCAACCTGGCTGGGAATTTGGTCCAAAGTGTCTAAGGCAGGGTTCCTCAACCTTGGCAACTTTAAGATGGGTGGACTTCAACTCCCAGAATTCCCCAGCCAGACGAAAACGAATGGCAGCTAGAGGAGATTCTCTCTCCCAGCGGACTTACTTTCGCGAGGGGCTGGTCCTTTGAACTGACTCCGGATCGGCAAGAGAGCCATGTTCCCAACCAGTTTGGTGTCCGGGTCCATCAGAGTGGAGTGGTAGGCCTGGGATGGGAAAGAGGGGGTGGGGGTTGATTGGCAGCGAAGGAGGACCACCCGTGGGGTGAACCCGTGGGAGGGTTCTGGCTCTCCTTAGAAACGTTGAGAAGATGCCACCGACTTCCCCACCATGCCTGCCTGTAGCCTCCTGGCAGAACATGGAAGGAGGCAGAAGGGTCGAGGGTCGGCAACCTACAGCCCTCCGGCTCAAACCTGGCCCAAGGAAATACCTGGGAGAGAACCAACGGACAGCCAGTCCAAGGCATTTTGCTCCCCGAGGGGGAGAAACAGGGCCCCTCACTCCGCCCCAGGCCTGAGAGCTGACCAGACTGGCTGTGACCACCTTGGGGGATGGACACTTCCTTGCGGGAGACCCAACCTGGCGCCCCCGGTGTCATGCCCCACATCCCTCCCGTACAAGTGGGGAGCGGGAATGGGAGCTGGAGCCCAGTGGGGAGGGCTGCCTCCCTCTGCCACTGCAACCCCTGTGCCGACCCCGTCCTGTCTCTAGAGAAAAGGGATGGAGGAATCGGGGCCAGGCACAGGCCTTTCCCATGCCCAGGTCGACCGGGAGGGGTGCCAGCCAGCCAGCCAGCCATCCCTCTCCCCGCAGGTGTGACATGCGGGTGGGCATGAAACACGCACGCACCATCACACTCACACACTCACACACACACGTACGCGAGGGTTGTACTCAAGGCGCTTCCTCCTTCCCCACCCCAGCCAGCAACGTCCCCGCCTTTGCCCTCCGGCGCGGTGCGGAGCGGGCCCGGGGCGACCCCCGGCGGCCTCCCCCTTCCTCTCGCCGGCATCTCGGGGG